AGGTCAAGATGCTCCAGGATTGGCCAGCCCAGTCACCAGACATGAACATTATTGAGCATGTTTGGGGTAAGAGGGAGGAAGAGGCATTGAAGATGAATCCAAAGAATCTTGATGATCTCTAGGAGTCCTGCAAGAACGCTTTCTTCGCCATTCCAGATGACAAGAGTCGTTGCAGAGATGTATGGATGCAGTCCTCCAAGCTCATGAGGGAGTCAGACACAATATTCATTCTGTCTCCACTGCAGCATGACTTTATATTCTATACTGGACATTATTTCTGTTCAGTGACGAGACTTTTGTCTAAGCAAAGTCAGACTTATTGTCCTATTGAAATCATTCAAAATCAAGGCATGATCATATTTTATTGTGGTAAAATAAGCGTGATCTAGAAGCCTTTGCCTTTCATATAAACCACTTCTGATACCAAATGTTCAACTAGAAGCATTTTCCCAAAATATATGTCAAAATAAGATTTGTCAGCAAAATTCATTCCATTTGCTGAAACAAAGAAAGTTGTGGCCAAATTAAGACTCAAAATCAACTCAGAGTAGATCAAAACTTCCTCAACAGCACATATGGGTTAAAGATCTGCCAAATGTGAGAGTTCAGTACATATTTGTGTGTCATTGGGAAGTGTGTGTGTGTGTCAGACTGCAGTGACGTGTGAAATGGATCTGGTGTTTGTGTGTTTTGCGTCTCATTGGTTTTGTTCCACCGTGGGCTCTGCTGTTGTGGCGTATCTGTTGGTGTGATGACAGTAGGTTGGCACCCCGAAATGTTGACCTTTCGGAGCTGGCCGCGCTGGTGATATTTCCAGACAACCGTTCCATATCAATACTGTTACAGTTCATGCACTCGTGATGCTCTGCACGCTTCCTGCTCTCTAAACACTGCCGATTTCCTCTTGTCCTTTATGTTATAAATGTAATATTTTTTTATTTATTTTATTTTATTTATTCTATTTTTGACTTATTGTTTATGTTAATTATTAATGTATTTTATTTTATTTTGCAAAATGTAACAAAAGTGGGCAATTCTGAAACTTTTGATTAAAGGAGAGAATAGTATAGTATATATTAATATTAATATTGTTCAGCTCAGGTTTGGTCCATGTTGATTCAACTAGATTCAATAACATTAAAAAGGGGGTCAAATATATAATTTAAAAACAAATGTGCAAGTTTTTCAAAATGAGTCTGTTTTGAATATCTTGAATATTTACATTGTAAAATGTTAGATTATTATTGTATTATTCTGCTAAGTTTTTAAATGTTCAAAGGGAAATATTGATTAAATTAGCAGTTAATTAGTTTTTCAATTAACAATTATGAATAATTAATTATTCATTATTTATAATTAATATTAATAATTGTTAATTATTATTTGTGTTTATTATAAATGTTTCCTCTTGTGTTTTTGTTTGCTGTGGCTTTATTTTATTTTATCAATTTTTTATTTTATTACAAATATGCAACTTTTTGCAAAATGAGTCAGTTTTTGTATGTGAGATATTTTAATATATTATGTTTTGTAAAATTATTATTGTATTATTCTGCTAAATTTTCTATGGTTCAAAGGGAAATGTTGATTCAATTAGCAGTGTGTCACGTCTGGCGTAAAGCAAGGAATAATCAAAGGTACGGATCCAGATGCAGCCAAACAAACATTTATTTAAACAAACTAAAACAAAGCAAAGCAAAAGAAAAACGCAGACATCATAGGAGTGACTAAAACTAATGACAACGAAGTGCTAACAGAACAGGGTATAAATACACAAGGAAACAATTAACTAAACAAGCTGACAAGAGGGTGGAGACAATTAGCTAAGAAGCTAACAAGATTAGAGGTAAACTAAGGTTAGCAGGAAGTAAATTGAAACACAGAACTGAAACGCACAGAAACAGGATGTTACACAGTGTTAAATATTAATGGATAATTATTCATTGTTTTTAATTATTTATAATTACTACTAATAATACTGATTAAAATAATAATAATAATAATAATAATAATAATAATAATAAAAACAACAACAATAATAATAATCTTCATTATTTTTATTATTGATATTATTAATCATATTATTTATATTGTGTTAATTATTGATGTTTCCTGTTAAATTTTGTTGCTGTGGCTTTTTTTTTTTTTTTTTTTGTATGTTCATGCTCAAAAATGAGCAATTCTAAAACATTTGATTATAGGAGAGAATGGTATGGTATATATTAATATGAATATTGTTCAGCTCAGGTTTGGTTAATGTTGATACAACTAGGTTCAATAACATTTAATATTTTATTATTATTTGCTTTTTTTCAGCTTAGTCCCTTTATCAATTTAGGGTCACTTATCTAGCACATGTTTTATGCAGCGGATGCCCTTCCAGCTGCAACCTATCACTAGGAAATATCCATACACACTTATTTACACACATACACTACATACAATTTAGCCTACCCTATTCCCCTATAGCGCATGTCTTTGGACTCGTGGGGGAAACCGGAGCACCCGGAGGAAACCCACACGAACACGGGGAGAACATGCAAACTCCAACCAGAAACGCCAACTGACCCAGCTGAGGCTCGAATTAGCGTCTTTCTTGCTGTGAGGTGATCGTGCTATCCATTGCGCCACCGTGCAATGATTTTGCACCTTTTTTAATTTAATTTAATTTAATTTAATTTAATTTAATTTAATTTAATTTAATTTAATTTAATTTAATTTAATTTAATTTAATTTAATTTAATTTAATTTAATTTAATTTAATTATTTTATTTTATTTTATTTTATTTTATTTTATTTTATTTTATTAACGTGTCGCCTGGTGTGTTTTCCAGAATCTCTTCCACTACCTGACGGAGGTGAAGAACAATGGAGTGGTGAAGATCCCGCAGGTGAAAGGAGATGACGCCTGGAAGGTTTATTTTGACGATGTTTCGCAGGAGATTGTGGATGAGTTCGCCATGCGCTTCGGTGTCGAGTCCATCTATCAGGCCATGACGTGAGTGAAGATCATTCTTCTGCTTTTTTAAAAATCAGCTGTGTTGTTATCATGATTTATACAACAGCTCTGTCTGGTTCTTGAATCTGATCGGCTGATAGCCATGCAATATTCTGCAAAAACAGTACAGCTTCTTCACCCTTGTGTATTACTCCACCCACATAGAGTGATAGCAGATCAATAAACTCACCACAGTTTGACAAATATTGCAGCTGTTGGACAACATAATGTACTTTTGAGGCTTTTTTTAGTCAAAAATCTAGTTGTTTAGATTGCTTTGTGTAGAAAGTGGTTGTTTATAATTTCGGAGGTTCAGCGTGTCGGCATCCATTAGCCTGTCATACTGAGCAGAGCAAAGACGGTGGTGTGACCAGATGGTGACAGAGACTACATAATAAGTTTTGGATTTTTTATTTTATTTAGACAATTATGTCATCAAAGTGTTAATATCACACTCGAAGCAGTGCCATATGGCTGTATATCATCACCGCTGGGACACTAAGGCACTCAGCCTGCAGCCTCGATCCAGTGCACGCCTCCTACTAGTGCTGATACACAGCCCTGCTACCTGTGTAATATTGCTCATATATACAATACAGATTATTTTAAAGCAGCTTTGATTTAATAAATAGAGAAAAAAAATAATTGGTGAATAAAAAAAAGAATAATTATTATAAATTATAATAACAGTGTCTGTGTTGATTGCTTAACACATTTGAATGTATTTTTAAGTGATTTAAGCATGTCATTATAATGTATGTCATTGCATTAATCATTATATTATATTTTATTATTGTAAAATATATTGTAATTTTTAATTATATTTTTATTTAATGTTATATAATGTTATTTTATTTTATTATTATTATTATTATTATTTTTAAATTTCGCTCAGTTTAGTTCATTGTTGGGTGAGTTGCTGTATTATATTTGCATAAATATATATTTATTATATTATATTATATTATATTATATTATATTATATTATATTATATTATATTATATTATATTATATTATATTATATTATATTATATTATATTATATTATATTATATTATATTACAGTGTGTTGAACCTAAAGCAGTCATTGACTCCCAAACAATTGCATTTTCCACAATACAACATCATCAAATGCCTTGTTTCATATTAGATCTGTCTATGAACTCATGAAAATACACATGATGGCTTTATAAATCAGCCTGTTCTCCAGAAACACACACATACTCTGTTGGCCGTTTGGAGGCTGTAATTAATTCGGGCCCCTGATGTGTCGCCACTCTTCTCTGAGGGCCCTCAGTCTTGTAATTGCATCTGGATTTTATTACTCACAATCTCCTCATTCTCATTTCTGTCAGGGTTCAGTGCAAAATTGCATTGCAGTGCAACAGACGAGAGTCCCTGCAGCTTCTGACATAACTGTTTGCATGTACACTGATCAAACGTTTTAGAAATTAAGACTCTGATGCTCACCAAGCCTACTTCACATTTGATTGAAAATGCAGTTAAAAAAAAAAAAAAAAAAAAAAAATATATATATATATATATATATATATATATATATATATATATATATATATATATATATATATATATATATATATATATATATATATATATATATATATATATATATATATATATATATATATATATATATATATATATATATATATATATATATATATATATATATATATATATATATATATATATATATATATATATATATATATATATATATATATATATATATATATATATATATATATATATATATATATATATATATATATATAT